CCTGGCTTCAGATCGGCACAGCTCTGGCCGCTGCGGCCAACTGGGACGTAAACCAGCAGATGGAAGACCTCTCACTCTCTGCCTCTCCTTCTCACTCTGTATAACTCTGACTTTCAAATAAATAAATCTTAAAAAAAAAAAATTTAAGGTAATTTTGAGAGGTACACAAGTAGCCTTCTATACCTTCTCTCATTTACTTCCTTCTCCTCTTTTTCTGTTTTAGTCTTTTCTCCTCCAATTTCATGTTTTACGCATTTATTTATTTTTCTTGCCAATGACACCCAAAGGCTTTAGTTAACCCCACTGGTGGAACTCAGAACAAAAGGCTATTAAACAAATCACTGTTAAAAATATGAAAAAGCATAACATTTATGTTCCAAGACTGTAACAGCATTTATATTATCTAAAAATACAGTTACCAATTTTTAGACATTTTCAGGAAAATACCCACCTTTAATATGAATTCATCTGCCCTAAGAACAAGCAAACTTTCAAAGTATAGCCATAAAAACTAAGTTTTCATTTACTACCACTAATAGCTACCCTTCAATGGCATCACACTAAACATTCTACAAACATAACCTAATACTAAAATCTTTATGAGGCTGGTATTATTTTCCTTATTTTATAAATGAGGAAGCTGAGACTTAACCAGGTAACCTGACCCAGGCTTCTACAATTGGTGACAGAGCTGGAATCTGAACCCACTGTCTTAAGCAAAGTCAAGAACCCTGAGAGCACCAAGCTGTGGGCTGGAAGCCTTAATGATAGATACAATGACAAATCACAGAACTACGAAATCTCAAGAAAGGAGTGTCCTTGAGGATGGTTAGGCAGTTCTTAGTCAATGCTTTTTATTTGACAGATAGAGTTAGACAGTGAGAGAGAGGGAGAGAGAGACAGAAAGGTCTTCCTTCTGTTGGTTCACCCCTCAAATGGCTGCTACGGCCAAAGTTGCCAGGAGCCAGGTGCTTCCTCCTGGTCTCCCATGCGGGTGCAGGGCCCAAGCACTTGGGCCAACCTCCACTGTCTTCCCGGGCCACAGCAGAGAGCTGGACTGGAAGAGGAGCAAACGGGACTAGAGCCGGCGCCCATATGGGATGCTGGCGCCGCAGGCAGAGGATTAACGAAGTGAGCCATGGCGCCAGCCCCTTAAGCAATGTTTTTAACTTTTGGCAGATACTGGCCAAAAGTATGAGACCAAGATAGCATCTAACGTAACACCACCTTTTTTTTTTTTTTAACAAATATTAGTATGTGGGGAAAATACTGTTTATATAGAACTTGTATCTTCTAACATGAAGTATCATTAACTGACATCTCAAGATTACAACAAACTACAGTTCTCAGAGGATCAAAAGAATGGCATCAGAATTTTTAACTGCCTCACAGAGATAAAATAAAATCTTAAGTTCTTTGAAAATATTAAGAAATTCAGCTGGTATCTGACTAAATCACACAGCATCATCTTCATGTATTACCTAAACAGAATCCCAAACTGTTCTAATTATTTGCAACATGCATTTATGCAATAAATATTAAGTACCTACTACAGGAAATAAACTAGTAGAATTAGCAAACAAATCCTGCTCTAGAGCACATAAAAGAGATTCTCCAGTGGGTAGTAGTACAGCGCAGCTGGTTAAGCAGCCACATGGGATGCCCACATCCCATACCGGAGTGCCAAGTTCAAGTCCCAGCTGCTTCACTTCTGATCCAGTTCCTTACTAATGCACCTGGGAAGTGGTGGATGCTGGCTCAAGTGTTTGAATTCCTGCCATCCAGGTGGGAGATCCAGAGGGAATACCTGGCTGCTGACTTCAGCTTGGCCTTCACCACAGCCCTGGCCATGGTGGCCATTTAGGAAGTGAAACGTGAGATGGAAGATCTGTCTGGCTGTCACTCTGCCTTTCAAATAAGTAAATAAACAGTTTCTTTAAAAAAAAAAAAAAAAAGATTCTCATTAAGACCCTCAAGTGTCTCAGTCCTGACATATTCTTTCTGGAGGGTGGCCCTTTTTTCCCTCTTCACTTTATAAAGTGAATAAATAAAATTTTTATTTATTTACTTTAATTTCATTTGAAAAGCAGAGAGACGGGGAGATCTTCCATCCTCTTGATTCACTCAAATCGTGCAACAGCCAGGGCTGGGCTAGGCCAAAACCAGGAGGCCAGAACTCCATCCAGGTCTCCTGTGTGGGTTGGAAGGAGCCCAAGTACTTAAGACATCACCTGCTGCCTCCCAGGATGCACACCAGCAGGGAGCTGGATGGAAAGCAAAGTAGCTAGAGCTCAAAGCAGGCACTGTGATAGGGATGTGAGCAGCCCCTGCTCCAAAAGCCCATCCCTGTACTGATATATTCTTTAAATCACTTCATCACTCTATTACAGACATACCCTCCGAGCATATCTGGAACAAGATCTCAGGGAACAACTACAAAAAACTAACAGTTCACATGGAGGCAGCATTCCGTGCAACTTGTGAAAACAACATGCGCGGTCTTTGAAGTCAGTAAAAGTTTGCACCCCAACTCTGGGATCGAGAAGTTACTGACACCAAGCAACTTCGTTTCTACGTCTATTTACTGGACCAAATGGAGAAATGGCTGCTTCTCTGAGTTCCCAATGCTAACACAGTAGCTAGCATGAGGGAGGCATCCAATAAATACTGGTTCTCTTTGACACAGAACACTGACAAGTTCATCAGATGAGAGATTTTTAAAGGTAAGACCATTAGATTCTATCTACCCCAATTCTCTATTTTTACATTGACTTGGTTGGTAGCAGTATTTTCTGCCCAAAATTATACAACTAGTTTAGTGACTGGACCAGGACTCACTGCCAGCACTCTTTTCTACTACAAATACTGGCCCTAAGATTTAAGAAAGCAAGCAAAACATATGGCAAATGACAGGATTCAGAGCCATATCACGTTAAGTGAACCATTCATTAAATTACATAATTAAAGCACTAGACTTTTTAATTCAAACTTTGCTACTCAAGCATTTCATGTAAACTAAATGCCTCCAAGTTTTTCCAGTAAAATCTTCAGATTCCTCTCAAAATAACTTAAAATAATCAAGATACAAATTAGTGATCTTTTAATTGGAATATCAGCGCTTAGAAATTATTTCACTGAGCACAGTTACATTCAGATGGTCCTGAGAAGGAACCTATGCTAAAAAACCACCTTCTAGCTCCCAAAATAGTGTCCTGACACTTGGGCTGTATTATTTTGCTTTTTTTAAAAAATATACTCTGAACTTCCAAAAGAAAGTAAAACGTCTTGACTAGTAAAAGTGGGACTAACGGAGAAAGCACAGAGAATTGGAGTGTTTCTCTTTTAAAGATACTCGTTTGCAAGTACCATATGGATTGTGTGTGAAATCACAATTAGACTGCTCTGAAAATACTCCTGCTATTCAAAATGTTCTAAGGGCATTATCTCCCCCTTTAAAAGGGTGTCCTTGGGGAAAACGGCTAACCCAAAATTTTGAGACATGTCATCAAACACGGTATTCTTTGCCAATTGGTCGGATTTTTAAAAACAACCGAAAAAGACCGTGATACATGACAAGGGTCGGCGATCGCTCCACTTGGGTACAAATCCTATCAGGAGCCAAGGAGCCGAGGGCCCAGTCGCTCCCGTGTGTTCCCCCAAATGTGAAAGCGGGCCCCCGCTCCGCCGAGCTGGAGACCCAATGCCACCCCGGGATCACCTCCGTAGTTGCACGGTACTAACAAGGAAGCACCTGGAGTCCTGGGGGTGAGGGCGAAGCGCAGAATCAACCAGCCCGAGGGACTACAAGGAAGTAAACCACACACCCACGCCCACATCCCAAGACGCCCAGGACCCCGTCCCCGACACACACCTCTGTCCCGAACCTCAGCTCGGGCCCCACACCGCTCGCCCGCCACAAGCCCCCCCTCCCCTCGGCCATCCACAGTCACCTTCGCCGGACACCCTTGCCCCAATCCTAACTTCGCGTCCCGCACGCCCGCCCCGCAGCACCTCCTCCCACTCACGCACCCTGCCCACCTCCTTGCCTTAGCCGTCCTCCCGGCTCCCCCAGGCGCGTCCCCCAGCCTCCCCTCGCTTCACTCCACGCCCCCAAACACCTTCAACCCGGCCACGGCAGGCTCCCCGCCTCCAGCGCCGAGGCCCGGCCCAGGCATGTGGGGCAGGCACCTCCTCTCCCGCTCCCCATGCCTGCCACGGCCCGGGGTTCCCGCGTTGAAGGAAGCCTCCGGGAGAGGGGGTCTGAGGAGGGCGACGCCGGACCCACACGGTCCCTCCACTGCTCGCCGCCCCCGGAGAGCTGAGGTACGGAGTCGCCTTTTGGGTCCCCCCAGGGAGTAGGAGTCCAGGCCGGTGCCCCCCCCCAGCCGCCCTCAGCCCTACTTCCTCCCGGTCGTTGGCGCGGAGAGGCAGGAGGCTCCCCGGGACTCACCTCGAGCCTGTTGTCAACATTAGCCCCGGGTTTCCCAGCACCAACTCCAGCGCTCGGGCTCTCCCCTCCCCTCCCCCCACCTCTCTCGCAGCCGAGGGCCCGCCTTCCCTCAGCTCCCCCTCCTCCCTCCGCCCGCCCGCTCTCCCGCCCGCCACTCACCAGCGCGGCCGGGCTGAGGGTGGGGGCGGGGCGGAGGGAGGGGGGAAAGGAAGAAGCTGTCCGCGAGAGTGCCGGATCGAAAACGCTCCGGGCCGCCCGTCCTCCCGCATGCCGATGCCCTCAGCTTGGCTCCGGGGTGAAAGGTCTAGAGCAAAGGCTCGTGTTGGTGCCGCTCATTTAGCGGCTCGTTCAAATTCCCCAGTTGAAGAGAGAAGCGACTTTTTCAGACAGGCAATCAACTGGGCAGCGACTACCAGCGCCTCTAGCCAGGGCCCCAGTAGAGGGGAGGAGTGTTTCGAGGACCGGAGGTAGGAAGTGGATTGGTCGCCAGGAAAGGGAAAGCGCCTGAATTGGAGATGCGCAGGCGCAAGCATTTCGCAGGGGGTAGGGGAGCGAGAATGGGGCGGGGCGAAGCTGGCAGCGGCTAGGGGAGGGCGGTGGAGTAGTAGAACTACGGAGCGCCGTTAAGGACAAACTTGGCCACGTGATTCTCCTGGGAGTTTCCTGGTGAGAACGTAGGGAAGAGGTCTAAGAAGGGAAAGTTTGATTGGACTAATTCGGAGAGGTTGAAGATTTGGGAAATTGGAAACTGGGGAAGCGAAAGAATATGGCTGGTGAGGAAGGGAGAAACTGGTTAGGAATGGATCTAGATTTAAGGTTGCCCTAAAAGACAGCCACAGTCCCGTGGGGGGATTTCCAGAAGCAGTTTAAGGAGTTCGACCTGAAACCATCCAGAGTGCAGAAGAAACAAGGCTTTTCGCATGTGGTTCTTAGAAAAGTCCCAGCTTTAACAAGAAGCTTTTTAAAAAATTATAATTCCTGAGTTAATTGAGTGAAATCACCTAAGAAGAAAAAAGAAAAAGGCTGGCCTTGTCGGTCCCCTCCGACCGCGACCGCGAGTCGTCACTTTATAAACCCGGCTCATTTCCTCCGACTCTCGGGAACCTCGTGTCCGCGGCGGTGGGAGCCGGAGGAGCCGCGGTGCAGAGCCGGCCTTAGACGCTGCCCCGCTCAGAGACTTGAGGCAGTTCTAGGTTTCCTCGCTTTCAGCCTTTAGTGCTGTTTTTGCTTCCCATGTATTCTCAAAAGGCAAATGATCCTGAGTTTGGCGATTAAGTTTTGCATTAAAGGGAAAGGGGGAAAAATTCTCTTGCAAACGCTGCCCACTGGTCAGGCACGAAAGGGTAGTAAAAGAGATAGATAAATACTGTCATTCTGTACCACGGATGAACAATTAAACTTTCCAAACAGAAACACCGTACCGGTGATTGCAAAACCCGGAACTCTCTTCAAAGGCTTGTCTCATTATGTCTGCTTTAAGAACCTTTGCTTCTCTGTTGATAGGTAAGTCTTGTCATCCTAGACCAGGTCAGCCTTTGCTTTTGGTCAGGTTAGCACCTACAAGTTATGGAAATACCGAGATCGAAAGAGGGGAAAGGAGCAATTTTTTTAGTGTTTGCTGTTTTATTTATTTTTTTTAAGATTTATTTATTTTATTTGAAAGAGTCACAGAGAGAGGTCTTCCCATCCGCTGGTTCACTCCCCAATTGACCACACGACCGGAACTGTGCCGATAGGAGCCAGGAGCTTTTTCCGACCACAACGACCGGAACTGTGCCGATCAGGAGCCAGGAGCTTTTTCCGAGTCTTCCACGCAGGTGCAGGGGCCCAAGGACTTGAGCCGTCTTCTACTGCTTTCCCAGGCCATAGCAGAGAGCTGGATTGGAAGAGGAGCAGCCAGGACTAGAACTGGCGCCTATATGGGATGCTGGTGCCTCAGGCCCAGGGCGTTAACCTGCTGTGGCTCAGCATTGGTCCCTGCTGTTTTATATTGAGGAGCCCCATTATATAAAAATTGAACCACAGAGAGAGTAATTGATAAAATTTTTTCAAAATTGTGCTTAAAAACTCCACCACCACCACCAGCCACTTTAGATATTGTCCTCCCTTGGAGCCCCCTTCCAGGCCACTCTGGCTGGAGGTCTCTGACTGATAAATCTTGCTTTTAAATCTCTCTGCCTGTCCACTTGGAAATTCTTCCATGTGAGACAAAGAACCAAGGTAATACTATCTACACTGCTGCCATTTTACCTGTAACATTTTGGCACCGTGACTCGGATCCCGCTCCCACTCAAGTTCGACTGTAGTCAGCGTTGGATCATCTCACCAGATGGTTTTTGTTTTTGTTTTTGAAAGTTTAACTCTCCTCTATAGCAGCTCCCATTTTCTCAAAAACACCGGGTCCCTGTCAGCCAGTTAAAAGTGATTAGCGTGGCTGCCGGACTTCAGACTTAAGGGCCAGGCTTGCTGATTAGGGCCAGGGCAGACTCTGTTTTAACCCCTCTCTTCTCCAGTGTGCATTGGCCTTTCGCGTGGGACTGGGAGAAGGCATTTTCTAAGGAGTCCCTGACTGGACACCAGGCCCCGAGAGCCTGTTAGTGTTGGCCAAAAACTACATTCTTTTCTTATTTCTTCAGAGATAAGTTTGTTGGTGGGACTAGGTGCAGCTTGGGACGAGGCCATGGGCTCCAGGCTCCATGCCTCAAGGAGTTTTTCCTTTACCCAGATCCCAAAAGATCTCCATCTCTCTCTGTTCCTCTAAATGCTTTCTGCACTTCGCCAGGTCTCCTCAGTCTCTACAAACTAATTTTTGGTCGTGTTAGCCAGTATTTCCTAGATATTTTGTTCATTAGCTCTGGGTTAAAGTTTTATTAGCCTGTTTGCAGACAGGTAGCTTTTTGATCTAGACTCCCATTAGATGCAGTCCCCATGTTGTCTGAACTTGTGTAGACGAGTCTCGGCATGTCTCTGGTATCCCCTGTCTTCCTTGTCTTTTGGGTCACTTCTGTCTGGTCCTTCCTACATAGTACCTACCTCAGGGAAGTTTACTGGGGAGCACGTTTGTTCCCTCACTCTGCTTCTTTATCCCTTCACCTGCCAGTCACCAACCTAGGTGGTAGCCATGACTGGTACCCTCTCTCCAAACTCTAGCTTGAAGCACCTTTGTTTGCTAAGGCTCTTGCCATGAAGGGTCATTGTCGGAATCAGACTTATTAGATAAGACTCAACACTGTGGCATAGAACAACTATTTTTCTTCATGCAAGGAACAAAGCGACAGTATATATTTGACCAGGCAGAGGCCCAGTCTAGCACACCACTGGTAAAGGGAACCGATCACTCCATGTGTGTGCTATGCTGACAAATACATGCCTGAAGTTACAGGCGTGGGAGGCTGAGCGAGCATGGGTGCTGATCCCACCCTCACCTTCCTACCCTGTGGACTTCAGTGCATGGCTGGTTGCCACAGGCAGTGAGACGGTTTTGAGAGACGTTGCAAATTCGGGAGAGATAGGAACTGAGAGACGCTTCATTTTTATACTCTGATTACAGTAGGCATTCCCCAGGGATGCAGCCTTAGACTTTGGGACTCATTTGACCCTTGAGCTTAAAGAAAAACTCCTGCTCTTTTTCTGTACCACTAGTCCTGGCTACAAGCTAGAGGATGGAGGAATTAGCCTAAGTGAGTTGTGAGAAGTGCCAGCCCCTCTACGCTGCCTCCATTTCCCTGCATGTGCTCCAGTATGCATTACATTCTTTTCCAAAGTGTCACAGGGTCCTGGGTCTATTTAGTGAGTCACCAGGGTCCCTCTATTATCACATTTCACTATGTTGTGGCTTTTAACTATTTTTAAAAAAACTATTTATTTGAAAGACAGAGTTAAGAGAGGTAGAGCTAGAGAGAGAGAGAGAGAGGTCTTCCATCCACTGGTTCAATCCCCAAATGACCGCAATGGCCAGAGCTGAGCTGATCCAAAACCAGGAGCCAGGAACTTCTTCTGGGTCTCCCTTGGGGGTGCAGGGGCCCAAGGACTTGGTCCATCTTCTACTGCTTTCCCAGGCTATAGCAGAGAGCTGGATCGGAAATGGAGCAGCCGGGACTTGAACCGGCGCCCATACGGGATGTCAGCACTGCAGGCTGGGGCTTTCACCTGCTGTGCCACAGTGCCAGCCCCTGTTGTGGTTTTAATCCCAGTGGAGCAGAGTTGTTATCAGGTGACCATTGCCCCCACTGTTGTAATTTTGCCCAGGGGTTTCTAGGCAAGAATCAAGGTCCGGTAACCTCAGATGCTATTGAATATATATGGATGAATCCATGTGATAAAGTTGTGGACTTCTTGAGACACTTCCTGAGCTGACTCCTCATCGCTGAGAGTGGTTTGACTGACAGCCCCACGATTAGACACTTCCAGTACTGACTTTTGGTTTTGGGATAATAAGGTTATTGGCTCTTTGCAGGGGCCTCCAGGGTTTTTCCCTTCTACTCTGCCTCTTCACAGGCTCTTACAGGAGCCCCCTTGTAGGTCGTTGCCCTTTCTTCTGTCACCTCTCACATCTCCTTAGGATCTCTGGCGGCGTGCCCATCTGCTCTGATGGCTGCCCCCTCCCATTAAACCTAACATAATGATGAACAATCTCCAGTGCACTTCTGGTCCCTGGCACATCGGCCCCTAGCCCACAGTCACCCTTGGGACCTGTCTGGCAGGGCCTGAACTTTTTGTTTCAGAGGTGGTCCTAAGTAACTAACTGCTGACTAGGGCATCCCTGACCTAAGGTGCTCTTTGGGTCAAAAAGAAAACTGGACTCAGCCAGCGCCGTGGCTCAATAGGCTAATCCTCCACCTTGTGGCACCGGCATACCGGGTTCTGTCCCGGTTGCCCCTCTTCCAGGCCAGCTCTCTGCTGTGGCCAGGGAGTGCAGTGGAGGATGGCCCAAGTGCTTGGGCCCTGCACCCCATGGGAGACCATGAGAAGCACCTGGCTCCTGCCTTCAGATCAGCGCGATGCGCCGGCTGCAGCACACCAGCCGCGGTGGCCATTGGAGGGTGAACCAACGGCCAAAGGAAGACCTTTCTCTCTGTCTCTCTCCCTCTCTCACTGTCCACTCTGCCTGTCAAAAAAAATTTTTTTTTTAATTTTAAAAAAAGAAAACTAGACTCAAATTCAGTTAGAGTCTAAGAAGATGTCTTTGGTAAATAACAATATCATGCGTAAGAATTTGATTCACCTATCAATGGACATTGGGTTTAAAGGAATGTCTCTCTTTTGAAAAATAGTTCAACACTGCTTGATAGTAACTACGGTTGAAATTCAATGTGTAATCTTATTTAGAAAATGTTTTAATTTGGAGGTTTTAAAGGGTTATTTCAAAATGTAAATCAAGGAAATCAGCAGATGGAAAAAGGTCACAGGTAAAAATTTGTTCTTGGTAAGAAAGGTTAAAAAAGAAAGAAAGGGGGCCAGCCTGTGGTATAGCAGGTAAAGCTGCCACCTGCAGTGCCGGCATCCATATGGGCATAGGTTCAAGTCTCAGCTGCTCCACTTCTGATCTGGCTCTCTGCTATGGCCTGGGAAAGCAGTAGAAAATGGTCCAAGTCCTTGGGCCACTAAACCTGTGTGGTAAGACCTGGAGGAAGCTCCTGGCTCCTGGCCTTGGATCTGCACAGCTCTGGCCATTGCGGCCATCTGGGGAGTGAACCAGTGGATAGAGGATCTTCACCCCCTCCCCTCTCTCTCTAACTCTGGCTTTCAAGTAGAATGAATAAATCTTAAAGAAAGAAAGATTTAAAAAAATTTATCCTAATGGCTAGTTTATTCTAGACTGGAATGGAAAAGATAGAAAGGTTTAAGTTGCAGAAGGTGTGAGGAAGTCACAGAAGTTATGAAAGAAATTTTTGGATACAAAAGCTATTAATCTTTTTATTTGACATAGAATTAGAATCTGACCCTCTGTTAAAGATATAGGGGTATTTTTTGCAATACATATTAGAAAATATTTTGAAATAGTCTTAAAAGTCTATTTTAAAACTGGAGCATCTCCTTTTAATAGTTTTTGTTTAATTGGTGACTCTGTCAGTTTTCTAGCCAGCTCCAGTAAGCTATTTTCTCATCACTAGTTCTGACTCTGTTAAAATTATTCCAAGTTATGGGATGATTCTATGTGCTAACTCTTACATTTAAGGTTTTATTTTATTTTCCAAATTTTGGGGTGACAAATGAAACAGATTTTGTGTTCTGCTGAACTAATCTATTGTGTTCTTAATGTCTCTGTTAAGTTCTGATTGTTTAAAAACAGCTGGCCGGTGCTGCGGCTCAATAGGCTAATCCTCCGCCGGCACACCGGGTTCTAGTCCCGGTCAGGGCGCCGGATTCTCTGCTGTGGCCTGGGAGTGCAGTGGAGGATGGCCCAAGTCCTTGAGCCCTGCACCCGCATGGGAAACCAGGAGAAACACCTGGCTCCTGGCTTCGGATCAGCGTGGTGCGCCGGCCACAGCACACTGGCCGCAGCGGCAACTGGGGGGTGAACCAACGGAAGAAGGAAGACCTTTCTCTCTGTCTCTCTCTCACTGTCCAATCTGCCTGTCATTCTTCTGCCAAAAAAGCTCAAACTTTTACTGGTTTTTTTTTCTATCTCTTAAATATGGAATATGGTGTGTTTGAAGTTGATCAGAAAGAAAGCGTTTGATCTCATCTCTCATTTAAAGCTCCATATTGGGTTATCTTGGCGAATAGGGGCTCCGTCTCCAGCTTCGCCCGCAACTTTAAAACCTT